CGGCTGGCCTCTCCCGGGCCTTCTATGCTTGCCCAAGTGGGACTCGTGGGGACAGCTCGTCTGTTCCTTGCCCAGGCCTGCCAAAGTGTCGTGTCGGGTTAGGGTTACATAAGTGTGATGTTGAGAGATTCCCTTGGAGAGGAGATGGGGCCAGTGCTCGTGGGGCAGGGTGCTGTCACAGCCTCCCCTCTCCCCCCAATTCCCTGGTCTTGGACAGTGCTAATGCGTTGGGTGGACACTTACCTGACCCTTTATAGATTTTATCTCATTGAATGATCTCCGTATAACTGATGATGTAGGTGTTATGTCCTCATTTGACAGATGGTGATGGTAAGACTCAGAGAGGTGAAGTTACCTGTCCGAGGTCACACAGCCACTGAGTAAAAGAAGCAGGACTCGAAGCCAGTTTGCTCTCAATTATTCTGCTAGGCGCGTAGTGAGGGTCTAAGCTCCTCATGGGGAACTCAGTGCTCCTTGCTCCCTCCCAATTCGAGCTCATTACTGGGAGACTTTCACCCATCTTTGTCCCAGATTGAGGTGAGGAATCTGGTTCTTACATTTCAGCAGAAAGACAGACTGGGAGGTTGGAGGGGGATCTTCCAGGGTGAGTGCTTGCAAAGACCTAGCAGGAAACAGCCCTCCCTGCACTGCCACTGCGGAGACCCCTGCATTATGGATTCTTTTCTTCTCCAAACAGAGCTTAAAACTTCTTTTGAAAAATGTAGATTCAGTAAAGCTGGGAAGTGTGTGTTGAGAAAATGTCGAATCTTCCAGCACCGTCAGCCCCCCCGCCCCCCGCCCCGGGGTCCTTAATACCCCAGTGGCCGTGAGGACATCCGAGCCTGTTTCTCGGGTCTTTTCCTTTTACGGGTCCAGATTCAGTGGGACCAGCCCCATGTCACACCCACGCAGGTCTCCTGGGCTTTTCCTGCGGGGGGGGGGGCAACTCTGGTGCTGATCTCGGGCGGGGGAGGTGACGATCCAGCCCAGGGCCTCCCCAAACTCAGGGCTCCTTCCAGATGCCATGAGCTGCTCACGTGTCCACCTCGTGTGTGGTCACTGAACACACTTCCCGACGATCAGATGCCCCCTCCTCTCCATGAGCCTGCAGTCTCAGAAGCTCTGAGAATAATCCTCTTTCCCAACATTGAGGGACCCCCAGGTGGATTCCAGGCCCCCGAGCCCAGCGGTGCAGCCTGCTGAGGTCCTGCAAGGTCATCTGGTCGCGGGGCAGGACGAGAGCGGGAAGAGCCCTGGGTGTCTTTCTTCCTGAAATAAGATCTTGCTTCTGGGTTTCCTGGGTCTCCAGGCCCCCACGTAGGGAGGATCTGGGCTGGATCGTCATCCCCCCACCCAAGATGGGGGTGGGTAGGCAAACCCAGCACACCTTGGAGGACTAATTTCAGGGCAGATGATTTCATTGAGGCGCTGGAAATAAAAGGGGAAATCCAATTTATTTCTGCCCTACATTACACCGACTTAGATAAATTTGCATAGAAGAAAACATTATGTCATTGCTGCCCGTGGGAACAGCATAGTTTTCGAGGGCTGCATCTGAAGATCCAAAAGTATGCACGTCCTCAGACCACCAGCGAGGTAGTTTGGATCTTGGTACCGCATGTGTCTCTCTTTGGAAGACGCGTCATAAAAAATTGCAGTAGCGGCAGTGATAAGTAAAGAAGACACGGGCCTCCATGCCAGGCCTCTCTTTAAAGGCTTTTATGTACATAGCTAATTAGATCCCTATGAGGAGGCACTGCTATTCACTTTACAGATGGGGCACTGAGGCACAGAGGGGTTTAGTGACTTTCTCAAGGCCACACAGCCTGTATGAGAGAGAGTGACTGAACCCTGGAAGCCTGCGCTAAATCCTGGGCCTATAACCGTTCAACTCTCCTCACCTCTGATGCTTAACTGCTCTTCTCAAGGGAGGGAGGAGTCTGGCTAAGCACTTAGCAGAGAAAGGGCTTAATACATGGGAGCTGTCCCTCATCACTTAGAGAGTGTGACACTCGCAGCCACTAGCTGAATGAAACATCCTGGCCACGTGAGAGGCAGAGGGGAGGACACTGTGGCCCCACCTACAGGTAAGAAGATTGAGGCTTAGGGCACGCCCGTGACATGCCAGGTCACACAGCTGGTTGGCGAAGCAGCCAAACATCAAGCTCAGAGCACCAGAAGGCAAGTTCAAGGTCCTTCCTCCGGGTGGTGCCGGCCCATAACACTGAACAGACGGTGGATAAGCAGAGCCGCTGGTTGCTCTCTGAGGCGCTCTCACCAAGCCCTGCTCTAGTTACTGTGTGGTTCCCTAAGGGGGCCCCTGGGCTCCCCCAGATTAGGTCCTTTCTGGGCGTGTAGGCTCTGGCGGACACGCAGGCCTCCGGGGTCCCAGCCACTCCCTCTCTCCCTGCTTCTCCTGCGCTCCAGTCCCTGCTCCATTGACTTTTCTGTCTTTGGCTGGTTCCCTGCCATGAGTCTTGCTCCTGGGGAGAGGTCCTGGGACGTGTCCTCCTTTTTGTGTCCCTGATGATGGTGTTTCCCCAGAGTCTGTCAAAGAAGAAGGAGGAGGAGGAAGAGAGAGAAGGGGAGCAGGAAGAGGAGCAGAAGGAGGAGCAGGAGGAGGAGCAAAAAAGCAGGAGGAGGAGCAGGAGGAGGAGCAGGAGGAGGAAGAGCAGGAGGAGGAGGAGGAGGAGAAGCAGGAGGAGGAGGAGCAAGAGGAGGAGGAGGAAGAGGAGGAGGAGGAGGAGAAGGAAGAAGGGGGAGGAGGAGGAGGAAGAGGAGGAGGAGGA